CTTTGGAGCCGAAGGCCTATCTACGACTCTGCATTTTGCCTGACTTGGGTGTCAGCGTCGCAGGCCTAGGTAGATGTATGCCAGGCGCGTCGCAGCGTAACAGTGTTTCGTGAGATATCGCGAAGCCTGTTACGCGAGACGTGGTCTGGCGTACATCTACCTAGTTCTAAACAACGTACAAACAGCCTTAGGCATCATTCCTAACTCTAACTTACTTACCCGGAGAGGCAGAGGAGAGGGTAAATGGAGTGACTGCAGAAAGATAAAAAAAAGATGATTATTTAAACTGTTTTCTTTTCTATACAACGTTCGCTTACTAACTTACCCCCAGCAATGGCACAGTGATTACGTGGCAACATATCTTGAGTGGAGGTGCTCGAAGTAGCTGCAGGAAAATACAAACATTGTTAGACTTTAAACTTCTGATTTTCCTTCCTCCATTCCGAATGAGCTGAGGATCTCCGCGATGTCAACAGCAGCTATGGACTGATTTACGCAGAGCGCGGCCACGAGGTGTGCAAATAAAGTGCTAGCACAGGCAAATATGGATGGCTTCTTCGAAACCTAATTCTTTAAAGGTGCAAGGCCACAACCCTATTCCACTTCATTACGGTCTTAAATTTACTAATTCAATCAGTTTAAGGAAATGCTAACACAGGCAAATCTGATGTGGCTCCCGAAATTCTAGACAACTTACCAAAGTCTTTTGGACGGCAAAAAACAGCACAGCTTCCCTCAGAGGTTGTGGGGGAAACTGCACAGAAATACAAAAGAAAGATTATTTAAACGGTCTTCCTTTTCTATATAACGTACAAACAGCCTGAGGCATCATTCCTGAAACTTACTTACTTCCTCGGAAAGGGAGGTGGTAGGAGAAGCTGCACCAGCAGCATCTTTAAGACGAGAGAAAAATACAAAAGGATAATTATCTAAACAGTTTTCTGTTCTATACAACGTTCGCTTTTTAAGAACAGGCGTACATGATTGCCTTTTGACTCTCTAACTTACTTGGTTCTTCCAACCTTCTTTTGCACTCGAAATTTTTTTTGAGGGATTGCCGCAGACTTCTCGTCTTCTCGGTATACGGAGAATCCCCTGCCTCTAGTTTTGGCTGCCGGTGTTTTGGCTGGCGCCTCTTCTTAGTTTTTCTGAAGGTTGAGTAAAGTTTTTTTGCGGGCGCGCGGTACCGCAAGTTCCGTCGGTACGCCTGCCGTCCAGCTAAGAGCTTTCTCTTCTCTTCCCAGCCAACCGTGGGTTTCCTTATGAGCCAGGGGTAACGCATAAAATTAGCAGTTACCCGGCTATTCCTTGTTGTGGGACCCTGTAAACACAAACAGTCTCAATTAGTCAGTAATATTCTAAAATGAGGCAACGGGAAGCCTCGACGTTACTTCAGTTGAAGTTGTACTTACAGAATGGCTCATGAAGAAGGGAACACAACCCTCCATGCAAAACGGATCATCTTCCAAATCCTTCCCTGATAAATATATACTTGAGGACAAGTGGTTGAAGCGCTCTAAATTGTTCTTCAACTTCCTCTGCAAAGAGGCCCTTTTTGACCTTTAGTTTGAATGCATAATGGGAGCGCAGGGAGTGGACGATGTCCATCTCCTTCAGTTGGATAATTGTCTGTTCTACATCTTCGCGCAGAGGGTAGGGTTCAAAAAGTTGCACTGTAGCGTGCTGCGCCAAAAGAATAGCCTGAAGGAAGTATTGATTGGATTAGTTACGTTATGCTAGGATGATGTACGTCAGTTTAGCAGAGCACTATTGGTAACATTTATCTGAAACGCACGTCAAAAATCTTGGCCCTTTTGGGGCGCCCGGCCGGTTCGTGGCGTCGTCTTCGCATAAACTTGTAACGAATTCCCTTTCCAATCTTGACAGTTCCGTTTGCTTGCTGGAATTTGTGAATTTTGCTCGATCAGGCGTCATTGGGTCAGATGCACCAGAGTCTATGTACCAAACTTCTATGTTGATCTTGCAAGATAAAAGTCCAGCAGATGATATGCATGACATGTGCTGTGTTGTAAGCTTGCTGCTACTTCCTGATCCTGATGTTGAGGGACCACTGGTTGATGTAGACAGTGCTGCTACTTTGCTGCGGTATGCTTCAGCACCTCCACAATCAAATGAAAAGTGTCCCCATTCTCCGCATTTGTTCACATCATTGGTCTGCGGCGGTTTCTTATTGTTGAAATTTTGCTGATAATTCTGAACGCCTCCTCTGCCAATGTAATTACCCCCACGTCCTCCCCTAAAACGGCCTCGCCCTCTTGCTCTACCTCTTCCTTGGTAGTTTTGGTTTTGGTTCTGGTAAGAGGTTGAAGGGTTTTGGGGTTGTGAAGAGTTCTGAGTTGTTGTCACCTTTCCAGAAAACAGGGCACCGGTAGGTTCTTGTTCAGCATTGGGTTCAAGGTTCAGAGACCTTTCTTTAACTATTAGTTTGTTCTTCACATCAAGGACATTCAGGTTGTTAGTGACTCGCATAGACCGGACTAAGGCACCATACTTGTCGAGTGGTAAGTAAGAGATAAGGAACACCGAAGTCATATGGTCTGAGAACACAACACCACCATTAGCCAAACTTAGCACTGAAGTCTTGAACTTTTCTTATGTACTGAGACATGCTCATTTCAGGAGTCTTCTCGAAACGGCCAAGCTGCTTGATAAGCATGGCGATATGCAACAGTGTGATTCTTCCATGAACCCAAGAGAGAGCAGCCCACATGTCCTCCGCACGCACACAATTTTTGATGCCGTTCAACATAACTTCACTTACGGTGCTTGATGATGTACGCACGTGCCTTCTGGTTCCTCTTGGTCTGTTCGGTCGTCAGTACTGCGACAGCCTCCCAGCCTGGGTCGACGGCTTCCCATACTTCAGATAGATAGATAGTTGTATCCACGAGGCAAAGGCCAACGCCTCAATCCAGTATTATGCCATCGACACTCCACCACATCCATGAGCAGCCCTTAACAGAGCCACCCATGGGCGGGGCAGGGCTTAGCGAAGCCGCCGGCACGGGACCCCGGGACACGCCTAGAAAAAAGTGTATCGCAAAGACCAGCCCCTGTGTAGGGTGGCGAACGTCGCACAAACCAGGAGGTAGAATCGGAGCGCTCAGGCCGCACACCATGCGCGTCCCGGGCCGCGCGCCAGCCGGTTGAGGACACGCATGTTCTTTTTAAGCTGTTTGATATTTTGACCAACCGCATGAGTGGTATCGCGCGAAAGGGCAGAGTTTACCGAGGTACCTTTACAATCCACCTCCGGTTTCATTTGGCCGAGATAATTTGATTATAGTCAACCAACAGACCACTCGGAGGCCCCGCCGGTAGACTGGCACTTAAAAATCACTTTTTAGATATTTAAAGGTCTTAGGGTCAGACTTTGTTTCTTTCGATGAAAAAAAAAAAATCTATTTTTTTCGGAGACCGATCGGACACGTTTTAGTGCTGCCGCAACGGCCCTGAAGTTGATTTATTTTAAATAACGACACTAAGTCACATAAACGTTAATAACTACCCTCCCCGATGTCCGATT